AACCAAGTCCTGAACATCCTACTATACAAGCCCTCTAAGATGTTTCCTGATGTTTCCGCCGAGATCCTAGGACCCACCACGCCTGGCAAGAAGAGTGCAGGCGCCTCCGTCAAGGAGAGCTGGCGCAGGGCATTGGGACCTGTGCTGGCGCAGGACCGGGCCCATGGGGCATAGAATCATTTTGGGGCCCGATGTACTCCGTGCGATGCGTCCACCAACTCACATGGAGTTTGCCCAAATTGCTTTGGGGTTCGGAATCTATGTATATATATATATATTGGATCTTGTATTATATGTTGTATAAATTCTTCCAAAAAAACTGACCACTGGGAGACCATTTGGCTTTCGCAAAGTGACAAATGAGTCTTCTATAGAGTTTTCCACGAGCACTAACAGGGGTTCTTGATTGGTTCACCCCAGAAGGAAACAGCCTGCCAATTCACAATTTTCCTAAGATGCTTGAGTCCGATGTATAGACTTGCAGCCGGTGCAAAATCTCCACGCTTAAAGTGATGGTCAGAGTGGTGCCCCGGTCACCCAGGTCACCGCGGTTGGGTGTCAAACCCGACCAATCCAATGGATCATGAAACAAGAATCTACTCCAACATGAAGGTCGTCTTCCACCCAACGACTGGAGACCCTCGCGAGGCCATTGTTCCATCCACCGCCTGAGAATCGAAACTTATGCAACTATATACTTGGATGTTTCTTAGACACCCCCAGCATTTGGTCCATCCGCCAAGGAGTGGGATATGTGATGCACTTTGGCACTTGAAAACAGCAAGAAACCCAGCAAAGCTCATCAACGACACTGGCCATGCGTCAACTTACCCAAATGAGAATGATGGCCATTCGTTGGCTTACCTAATTGAGGCCAGGCAGCTGATCTTGGTGAGGCACTGAGGACGGCTATGAGGCCACAAGCTGCAGCCAGACACCAAGAGCCTCCGATCCGAACCGAACAGGTCTCCAACCTATCCCCGAACCAAGTGGCAAACGCGGAGGTGTTTTTTTGCTTTTTTGATGCCACTTTTATATAAATCGAATGCATTGGAAAATCACTCCGCCAAAGAGCTACAACCCTCAAAGTCACAATACCCAATGGATCACTCTGGGATTGTCAAGCATACCAGAGAGCTGGAATTGGCAAAGGCATAATTCCTGTGGGTCACCAAATTCGGGCCGGTCAAAATTACCAAAGGGCTGTGGCTGCAAGCACTAAAGGTGTGATCCCCAATGTGGGTGATCCACAGAGCGCCACGACAAAGCCAAGGAAAGTGTCCCATGTCTTTTCTTGTACGGAATGGGACACGTCTCTCCAATGTTAAAAAGTTGCATTTGGAGAGGTTATATTTGCTTTGGAAACAACAACGATGGTATTTGCACCAAAAAAAATGGGATGAAAGAACCACACGGAAATCTGTGTCACCCTGTGAAACGGACTGGATCAACGGATCGAGATGAAACAAGCTCGAGGCTGGACCACAGGCAACAATTGACCAATACACAAGCTGGTGTGTTTTGTCGTGTATATATATATATTTGTTTTTTAGCAGTATAGGTCAAGGATGGTCAAGGGGATGGAAGTGTTTCTAGAAGCATAGCCTTGGACAAAGCCTTCATACACCTGGCATGCACCAACTGACTGGAAGAAGGATGCCTTTGTTTGACCCTTTCCTACGATGATAGTCAGAACTGAGTCAGAACACCTTTATATCGGTGAGTTCGAGTAAATCCCATAGATGTTGGTTGCTTGGTATTGAGTCAAGTTGATTAGTTCGACTCCACTGACTACAAGTAGGTTCCGCGGTCCCCCCAACATCAGCATCTCGTCGCGCAAAAAGAAGCAAGCCCAACATCCACCTGGTCAACAACACGGAAAAATCGACGACGAGTCCTACTAGGAGCAAGAATCCGACGGGATTCCTTTTTGCTTCCGGTTTCCAACCTGCCCATGATCTGTCCCTGATTTAACAATGGTTGTTGAGGGTTCAGGCTATCAAATCAATGGTGCATCGAATCGTAGGGCTGTTTGTTCAACTGGCACCCAACCTCCAACCTCCGCGCCTCCGGGTCCCTGGATTCTCCGAGTCCTGGACGAGGATGGCAAGGATTGTCGGTCGCACGGTGCAGCAGTAGTGCCACATGTTTTTGAGCGAAATCCCCCGAGTTTCACAGGTCATTTGGGAGTAAAAACAAGATTCTTTTGGAAAAAGGGGAGATAACAAAAACTTGTCCTTCAGGAGTTGTCTCGGATGTTCACCACGGGCCGTCCGGCGAACTCACCCCAAAGTCTTGGCCGTTGAGAAGAGAGCCAGCCAGTCCCTGACCCCTCGATGCCATCGACCTGCGGCTCTGCAACCAGTAGCAGGACCTTCTTTAAGGCAAAACTCAACGGAACTACCTGGTTGACCCTCCCAAGGTGATCCTTGCCTGGAGAAAAAGATCCGAGCCGCTCACGGTGACCAGTTCGGATGAAGCAACGAACCCCCGCGCACCGTTCGGTGCGCGAAAGAAACCGTGAAAGACTCCCAATCAACTCGACTCGACGCGACGAAGTCAGAAAAAACATCCGCATCTTCCGGCCCCCTAGTCGCTTCAGTGCGTGTCTACTTGTCGCATCGACTTTTGCTTCGGCACAGGAGAGAACCCTCTGCACATCCCTCAGAGTTCATCGGTCTGGTCCTCCACCCAAAGCCTCCGGGAGACCTCACGACCTTGGCGAAACAGCAAACACGAGCCCGGCGGCCGGTATGGCGGCTCAGCTTTTCAGCTCGGGGCTGCCCAATTGGGAGTGAAGGGAAAGGAAACGGGCCATGAAAGCATATGTGAAGGTTCAAAAAAATCCAGGTGCACCAACGTCGCAAACCACCCACTGTTCACTCTGACTTCTCTTCGCTGCTTCAACCACTCATGTAAGGAAGGCCAAAAACTGTTGTTTTCCAAGACCGCACACCGGTCATCTTTCGGTCTGGTTCTTCGGTTCTTTTTCGATGATCACCAACCCACCAGCTCCCTCTCTCTCTCTCTCTCTCTCCATGGCCGGTGCAGAGGAGCCCAAAGACGGCCGTCTCGGAAGCGGTCTCTGCCAGTGCCTCCAACAGGCCTCACGACGTCGATGTCGTCACAGCAGTCACACATGGTCCAATTCCGTGCGGTGCGTGGGAATAAAGGTGCTTTGAGAAATGGATCGAGTCTTTTGCGGATAGAAACAAACCCTGGCAACTAGTGAAAAACCCTGGGCGGTACGCAAGGATGCGCATAGAAACAAATCCTTTCATGTGGTTGCTGGCATCATGCAAACACATCGGTGTTGATGTCTATCCGGCATTCATCGGTCATGGACATGGAGGTTCCACCGCTCGCAATCCATTCGATGGTTCATCACCAAACGTTTATGTGTTCTGTTAAAGGAACGGCTAATTTGGATGGCTTCCATATACATATTTTATATTATACTATACTATATCCGCCGACCCCGGCCTATAGCCAAAGCCTAGGCGGGGAGGCGCCTGGGCCACCGCAGGGTGAAGCAGTTGGCCAAGCCTAGCAGAACCCTTCCAAGCACTTCCAAAGGCCTGTCCGAGGCCTCGCCAGCTGGCAGGCCTGCTGCGGCCTCTCTGTGGCCTGTCCGAGGCCTGCCTCCTCTCTCGGCAGCTGGCAGGCCTGTTGCGGCCTCTCTGTGGCCTGTCCGAAGCCTGCCTCCTCTCTTCTTATGGGCTTCCGAAGGCGACGTTAGGCATTTTGGACCGCCTAGCTGGCAGGCCTGTTGCGGCCTCTCTGTGGCCAGGCATTTTGGACCGCCTTCAAACCCTCGGGTGAAGCAGTTGGCCAAGCCTAGCAGAACCCTTCCAAGCACTTCCAAAGGCCTGTCCGAGGCCTCGCCAGCTGGCAGGCCTGCTGCGGCCTGTCCGAGGCCTGCCTCCTCTCTCGGCAGCTGGCAGGCCTGTTGCGGCCTCTCTGTGGCCTGTCCGAAGCCTGCCTCC